AGTTCACATGCCGCTGTTGTCGTCGGTGTCGAACTAAAGAAGCTTATGCACCAACTCTATCCTGTTTCGCGATGCCTGGGCCCCGAAGAAAATATGTTTAGGTCTGTAGTAGGTGATTATTTTTGTTCCAATAAACGTCGTCCTTTCGTTGAATGTGTCTTTAAGACCTGATGCTTATAAGCACAGTTTATGACCGCTGCTTCACAGTATAAATTGTCAGAGGCTTTTTTGCCTCGAATAAACAATGTAATCTTAGTTTCGCATTTTCATCTATACTTTTTAGCATGAATTCTTATAGGAAAGCCAGTTTCACTTCGTTCTTGATTTTTTCTAATATTTTAAAAACTCTAGACAGTGGAAATCGGAAAACGAGCCTTGCAAGAAAGAAACAAATCAAGAGATAATCCCATTTCGGTATGTAGACCTATAAGCACCAGTCATTCGATTCATTGTCGCATGATGATTTTGACCTCTAGAATTTTAGAAGATCTGCTCTTTGCGATATCTCGTGCCAACGGTTACTTTGCTGCTCTGAGCAGTGAAAGACTGTAGATCAGCATGGTAAGGATGATCGTCCCCTCCGTTGCAGAGGCAGGAATCGCTGATTCTACCAGACGAAGAAAGCGATTCCATCTACTACGTGCATTTTTGTATGAGAACCGATGGAGAAATTAACGTACATTTCAGTGTCGCTAGAACCGATGGATGCCAGATTTCGCTTCGTGTTTGTTCAGAGTAAAGGATGATCAATCTTTGAAGATGTAGTCTTAGAGTTAGATATTTCAGTAACTGCATATTTGCAGACTTACTTCTTAGGTTCGGAGCAGCGTTTTCTTGCTGCAGTATTGGTTTCTACGTCTTCTTACGTCTTGTCTACCTTTGTGTTCAGCAGGTGAATGCATTGGATGCTCCAGCAATACTTATTAAGCTGCAGCTTTTTAAACAGCACTTTATTCCGCCTACATGGCGCCATCGTCATCGGGGATTCTTCACGGATATGAGATTTTCAAGTAAACGGTGCCATGTGGATGATACATAAGTTTCAGTTGCTACACACTGTTATGCATGCAGTAAATAATAGCGTAATATATAAAAATGCATGTATCTACAGTACTATATGATAATTGGTTTATAACCCATTTAAGAGCAGGTTGCAGGGCGTATGGCACAGTTAGTACTCTCGCGTGCCTCAAGTATTATACCGTCAAGTCTTCCTTTGAAAGAATTATGCGTCAAATAATATACTCTAGGATGTTTGTAAAGTCTGTGCAATTTCAAGCAGAAAATTTCGGGCTATTATAATATTGGATATACGCGTAAAAATAAATTATCAGGGTCGCGTGAAAGTGTCATTCATGGAGTTGTTTACTATCATACATGTCAAACATCCACGGTTTAGGATAACAGTAACCTCTAGACATAGGTACTTCATAGCGGCTAGAAAATAGTTTTCAACGAAGGTGAAAATATAAAAGGCGAGTAATCAGACCGGCGTACGTTTCGGTGAGCCTTCAGCTAGCAGCACGATGCTTTGACCTTTGAGCTAACCAGGTAAAGCCAAGCTGTGCGATGCAGGCAATTCCTACTTTTTGACCACTTGCGATACTCAAAAGTAACACCCTCGAACATTGTTTCTTGTTCATCTGCATTCTTGTCATTCATGGAATTCTTCTGCTCTCTTGCTGTGGAGTTGTCTGATCGATCGCTTGAGAAGTAGACGTGTTCAGTATATCAGGTTCTAATCGAACTACCCCTATCAAAATTATACCAACGTCTTCGCTCGAGGACACTTCGAGTTATTGCAGTGGTTTTCTGCGCGCACATGATGATGGAGTGCATGTCTTCCAAAGCCGAACGTCACGGTTTTAATTTTGAAGATCTTGATATCTAGTTTCTTTAAGCTTCAACCATCCAGTTTCTCTGTTGGTCAGTCAGCAGTTTTCAGTGGATCTTTTTAAAGGGCATCTTCACCTCCCTCAAATGACCACAATAGTTTATCATGTTGATAATCAGCTATCGACGTTTCGATCTGTATCAGGCAGTCTTTTTTCATGGCGACTTTGTTTGCGTATGATCGTCGTCCTTCGTGGGTATTGCTTGAATTGAATGATGCTGCGGCAGACGATACTTTGGTTTTCCTGTATCTTCCTGTCGTTTAGTGCCAACAGTTAGTAACCACTGTTCATGATAAGTACATATTCTAACGTTTAATGTGATAAAATTGTCTGATTTTGCATTCATCACATCATCAATTCAAACGGAAGAGTACACTTTCTGTCGTCATTATTGTCATACGGAAAGAACCTCAGAATAAACAAAGGAGTCTGCTGCTTCAGCAGTAAATTTGATGAGACTGGTCTCACGATATACATGGTGAAAGTTGTTCGAAACTTCGTCTGTAACGAATAGCACTGAACTGGCGAGATGAACATCTAATATCAGTCAGTCAGTCAGTCAGTCAGTCAGTCAGTCAGTCAGTCAGTCAGACACACAGACAGTTTCAATAGCCGTTTATCCATTCTGGTCACGGAGACTCGTCACACTGTGTTTCCATCGTCCGCCATCCTCTGCCAGCGTTTGAGTTTCGGCTGAAGATAACCAGAGTCTAGAGCAGAGTCCTTCAAGAAGTTTTCGCAGGATATTTTTGGTTGTCCCAGGGGGTCTTCCGCCAATTGGTAGAGCAAGTAATGCCTAATTCGCCTTCTGTTCCAGAGTCGTTCACAACGTGTGTTTAAAACGTCGTTGCTCTGACTACTCAGTCTGAAGAAGCAGCTTTTGTACACCAAGGCTCTGGCGGATTTCTCTACTTCGGACCATCTTTAAATGCGTAAGGCAAGCCACTCGTATCAGAAAGCCAATTTCAGCCGCATGTACCAGTGATCGACGTTTTTCAATCGTAGTCCACGACTCATGGCCGTAGGTAATCACCGGGATGAAAATCGACTTGAATACTGAAAGCGTAGTCTTCAGGCTCAGCTGTACTTTATTCACGCAGAACGCCACTACGTATTCCAATCTGCCGAGCGATCACAGCCTCAAATTTTCCATCACCAGTAAGCACGACCCCGAGATACTTGAACTCCTCCACCTCCTTCACTGCTTTTCCGCATATCTGAAGAGTGCAAGAGAATGTTGAATGCAAGAAAACACTGAAACGTTGATACGTTCACACGCATGCCGATCCCGTCACACTTCGCTGCCAACCTTTTAGAGAGTGCTTTGCATTAGTTTAAGAAGATGGCAATAAAACAAGGCCGTCTGCAAACTGCAGCCTTCTCGACTTAACACCACCTACACAGATACATTATGATCGTCGTCTGGGTTGGCCTGATTATTCTATCCGTTTACAACACAAACAGGAGAGGGGACAGAACGCAGCCTTGGCGGAGAACCAGTGCTAACGCTGAAAGGTTTAGACTTTACGCCATTTACTCTGACACAACACATCTGATATCAGCATGTAGTGATTGGATGTCCTGTAGCAACTGAGCATCGATCCCGTCTGAGAGATATTGCAGCTTCTGATCATCAGCTCCTACTGTCAGTGTCGTTCCGTTATATCCTTATCTGAGTTGGTAGCCGTCGCCGTGCTGCTACGCCCCCAGCTATCAAAGGCAGGTTCTGGCCGCCAGCTTTTCGCAGTGTACCTCCCTCCCCCACAGCCTTCAGGACCCGGTCTACGACTGAACGAGCTTAGCGCTCTGTATGATCAGTGCCATTAAAGACAGGTTAAGCTAAGGCGTCAAACATCGTTAATGTGGGTATTCGGTCCTTGACCCTGATTCCCCGGATGGTGATGACACAGCGCAGGTGGTTTTGTTTTTTGGGAGGTCTCGCCGCTGTTTCCAATTCTCCTTTCTCATCCGAGCTTGGGACGTGCAACGACGGAATTCAAGTAACATTTATTATAAATTTATGACATCGTACCTGTAACAACAGAAAGTCGTTTTGAATGCTTTTCAGACTCAAACTCATTCGCACGAAAAATCAGCTTGTGAGTTGTGCTGATTTGGACTCATTGCAGAATTCTTAAGATGGAAGCTAACTCTTTTCGATGCTGCTGCTGTCTATCGTAGCAGAGTGTGTGTAGCAGCATAGGTCAACGAAATTTGCCCAATACTACTTTCTAGAAGTAGTGCGTAGATGCGTAATTTTACTAAGATTATTTTTCTTGAATTTCATTTCGAATTGTTCAGAAGCAAATGTTGATATTAGTAGTAGGGGCTAATTTTTTTTTTAAAATTGCTTATCAGAGACATTGCGTGAAAGTAACTTATTCGGTCTTAAATTTAAATGTAAATCTTAATCGTGTTGAAAATTCTAATGAACAGAGTTGTACTGCATTTGACTTTGACTATCTGTCAAAGATGCATGGTTTGTTTCCGTGAATTTTTTAAAGTATTTTATCGCCAGTCGACTGTGGCTTTGAGGGAACTGCAGTCACTTACGCAAATCAATCACACCAAGAAGGCGTGAAAGAAAAAAGTGAAGTTTTTAACTTACAAGCTTTAGTGAGCAGATAAATCTTATTGATTTGTTTCTTGTTCGAACTTTGCTCTGGTCAACGAATGATGTTCTCCGATGTGTATGATGTGGTCACCAGCGAACCGGTTGGCGTAAATCAGCCTCCCGTGAACTGTGTCCGTATTTGCATACCTTCTATTCGCGCTGTTCTTCTTGATAGCTTGGGCGATAAATATGATGGAAAGGGTTTTAGGGCAGTGGCGATGGTGGCGATTGTTGACTGGACATGCGCATATTTAGATATTTTGACTGCAAAGTGACCTTGATGCAGTACGCATCGCGGTTTGCACCGGACCGCCCGCAATCACCATATCGCGTCGCGTCTGTGGTTGACAGGTGCCAAACTTGAGGAGCTGTGCGTCGCGTTCCGCAGTAGTTCTCTTCACTAATGCTCTGTCCTTGTTTAGCACCCTGTTAACGGTGTAAGGTAGTGTCACGCGTTACAGTCGTAGTGTAAAGTCGAAGATCTTCGAAGAATGGCCGGCTACGGCTATTCGTCGCCGGATTCTCAAGCGATGAACGGCGGCGGCTCGACGGGGGCGAATTCGATCGACCTCGACGACGAGCTGATGGACCCAACGATATTCTTCGAGCGCGGCCGAATCAAACAACTTCAGGACGAACGCGTCAGCATACAAAAGAAGACTTTCACTAAATGGTGCAACTCATTTTTGAACAGGGTACGTTTGATGGCATCATCAGTTACCGAATATAATCGTTGTCTTGCGTTATAGGCACGGCTCGAAATCGCTGACCTGTTCATCGACTTGTGCGACGGCATTCTGCTGATGAAGCTGCTGGAGATAATCAGCGGTGATAAGCTAGGCAAAGCAAATCGCGGTCGCATGCGTGTGCACAAAATTGAGAACCTCAACCGCGTGCTCGACTACCTGAAACGCAAACGCATCCAGTTGGAGAACATAGGCGCTGAGGACATACTCGACGCCAACCCTCGTTTAATTCTTGGCCTCATTTGGACCATCATTCTACGTTTCCAGATAGAGGACATTGAGATCGAAATTGTCAACGTAAGAAGCTAAGCTCATTCAGTGTTAACAGGCTAGCGGTGGGATTGGTAGATTGAACTTAACGGTTCTCCACAATTTCTAAGAGCGCAGATTCGTGACCTTTTGTATGTCAGAACCAATGGTTTTATTGTTCGGTTTTGATTCTCAATTTTGTAGATACTCGCATTGTTCTCTATAAGATAAATGGACAGTCCACTGAGATTTGTGTGCCAGGATGGTTTTGAACATACATTAATTTTACTTCCTTTTCGTTCAGAGCCAGCTACCGTTACAGACAGACTCCAATATGCGAAAGTGTTACTTTCCACCTACCTTTATTTACGATGGATTTAGCCAACCTCCACCCATTAAGCTCACTCTATTTGCTTACCCTATTTACAGCACATATGTACAATAAAGAAATTATGTTTTTAAAGTTATTTTTGTTGGCTT